GGGACTACCGCCGCATCGAGAGTTCGACCACCGCATACCTTTGGTCGAGGAAGGTCGAACAATGGACGTGCACCCGTATCGATATGCACACTTCCAAAATATGGAGATCGAGCGGCAGGTGGGCGAGATGCTCGAGTCCGGGCTCATCCAGCATAGCTCGAGCCCGTTCTCGTCACCGGTGTTGCTCGCAAAGAAGAAGGACGGAACTTGGTGGTTCTGCACGGACTACCACGCTCTCAATGCGGCTACAGTGAAGGATCGCTTTCCCATTCCAAGCGTCGACGACATGCTGGATGAGTTGGGTGGCGTGTGTTACTTCTCTAAGCTCGACCTACGCGCGGGCTACCATCAGATCAGGTTGGCCAAGGAGGACGTGCCCAAGACGGCTTTTCGCACGCACCAAGGGCACTACGAATATCTCGTGATGCCTTTCAGGTTGTGCAATGCGCCGTCGACCTTTCAGTTTGCCATGAACTCGATTTTTAAGAGGTACCTACGTAAGTTTGTATTAGTATTCTTTAATGAAATTTTGGTGTACTCGAAAACATGGGCAGATCATCTCGAGCACTTGCGAGTTGTTTTGGGGATTTTGGAGGCTAACTCATTCTACATCAAACCGTCCAAGTGCTCGTTTGCTCAAGAGGTGTTCGAGTACCTTGGGCACTTTATTTCTCATGAGGGTGTTAAGGTGGACCCAAGGAAGATCGAGGCGATGGTAGGGTGGCCGAAGCCCGCGAGCTTGACGCAGTTCCGAGGGTTCCTTGGTCTTACCGGCTATTATTGCAAATTCGTGAAGGACTATGGAACCATCGCGAAGCCACTCACAGAGATGACGAAGAAGGGAGCATTCAAGTGGACGGAGGCGAGCAAAAAGGCTTTCGAGGAACTAAAGAAGGCCATGACGACCACACCCGTGCTCGCGATGTCGAGGTTTGATATGTTGTTCGAGATTCACTCGGATGCGAGCGACATTGGAATCGGAGCGGTTCTAGTACAGGAAGGACGACCCTTGGCTTATCTCAGCAAGGCTCTCGGGCCGGCGCGCTTAGGGTTGTCCGTGTACGTGAAAGAGATGCTAGCCGTGGACGAGGCCGTGCGCGTGTGGAGGCCGTACTTGCTTGGGCGACGCTTTCGGATTGTCACGGACCAGCAGCCGCTCAAGCACTAGCTCGAGCAAAGGATCGTGACGCCCGAGCAGCAGAAGTTCGTATCCAAATTGATGGGGTTCGACTTCGAGATAGTGTATCGGCCAGGTCGCCAGAACACCGTGGCCGACGCATTGTCTCGCCGGGAAGACGTGGCCGAGCTCGACGCAGTAACGGGGCCAACGTGGGCCGTTTGTGCCGAGCTTCGGAAGGCACAAGATGAGGATGCGCATTGCCGGGATGTGATCGAGAAGCTGAACATGGGACACGACGAGGACGTGGACCATGACATGCACGATGGCTTGCTCCTTTATCATGGGCGAGTCGTCGTGCCCAAGGCGGGATCGTTGCGCGAGGAAATCATCCGGCACTTCCACGACTCGAAGTTTGGAGGACACTCCGGGGTGTTCTGGACATGGATGAGGATTGCGATCACTTTTCATTGGCCAGGGCTAAAGGGCGATGTGCGCGACTACGTTGGGCGATGTGATGAGTGCCAACACACTAAGGCGGACGCACGTCGACCAAGCGGGCTGCTCCAACCTTTGCCGATCCCCGCACGTATTTGGAAGGACATCACCATGGATTTTATCGAGGGGTTGCCAATCTCGAATGGGTTCAATGGAGTCATGGTGGTAGTCGACCGTCTTACCAAGTATGCACATTTTATTCCACTTACTCATCCATACACGGCTAAGTCTATAGCAAAACTGTTTGTTGAATACGTGATGAAATTGCATGAAGTGTCGTGGTCAATTGTGTCCGACCGAGATCGGATATTTATGAGTAGCTTTTGGTCGGAGTTCTTTAAATTGCAGGGAACCGAGCTAAGCATGAGCTCAGCTTATCATCCACAAACCGACGGACAGACAGAGGTGACCAATCGCACGCTCGAGCAGTACCTTAGGTGCTATGTGCATCAATTTCCGAAGCGATGGGAGAATTATTTACCTTGGGCCGAGAATTGGTATAACACCACTTACCATAGCTCGACTATGGCAACGCTGTTCGAGTTGGTGTACGGGCGCAAACTGTCGACGATCGTGAGCTACTCGATGGGGAGCGCCGTGAACGATGAGGTCGATCGAGAGTTGGTCGAGCGTGACTTGATGTTGCGCGAGCTAAAACGGACGTTGGAGGGCTCAATCAATAGGATGAAGGCATACCATGATGGCAAGCGGCGTGACGTAGAGTTTGAGCGCGGGGATTGGGTGTACTTGAAGTTTAGGCCATTTCGACAAAGGACAGCCGCGCAAAGGGTCGCGACCAAGCTCGGAGTTGGATATTACGGGCCTTATAAAATTTTGGCCAAGGTTGGGAAGGTTGCTTATCGACTTGAGTTGCCGGAAGATTCCCATATTCATCCGGTCATACACGTCTCACAACTCAAGCAACGGCTCGGCGAAGCGCATGCGGCAAAAGATCGACTGCCCGCGATCACGCCAGACGGGCAGGTTATGGTGCGGCCAAGCCGTGCGATGGAGTATCGACAAGTCAAAAAGGCTGGAAAATGTTTCTGGGAAGTGCTCGTCGAATGGGAGGATTTACCGAGCGAGGAAGCAACGTGGCAAAGTTGGGACGAGATGCGCGAGATGTTTCCCGATTTCTTCCTTGAGGACAAGGAAGCACTTGAAGGGGACGGGAATGATGAGAACACGGCAAGGAGATTAAAGAATGCTGCGAGTCGCGCTTATCATGCACGACGGAGGTTAAGCCGACGGGCTGCCCACGCCCAACTCGTTAGCAGACATGCACGCGCGGACGGTGACGCGCGCGAGAATCTCGGCCAAGGGTGCAATAGCGCGGGTACGGACGAGGAGGTTCACGTGCGAGCAGTCCTAACAAAGCAAGGAGTAGGCGAGGCGGGCGCGCGAGAGCAGCACGCGCGCAATGGCGGCTTGAATCGCAAGCAAGAGATATTCTAGATATTTATTTCCTTGTTTTCTAGTTTGTTTAGGACACCTAATATTTTATTGCTTTATTAGAGTTATAGTTATATTAGGACTAGATCTAGTAGATGCCTATATAAAGGCCCTTCTTCTTGTTAATTTAATAATTCAGAAATCAATACAAAAAATCCGAACTTTTGTTCAAACACTTTGCTCTAGTTTTCTCCTTGAATTCTTTTGCAATTTTATTCGTTAGAAAGGCTGCGAGTGTGCGACTTCCTAACACCTATCGAGCGATTTAAGGTGCGGGAGCGGCTTGTCGACAGCCGGGACACACGGTCTTCATCAGCGCGTCCCTGCGCGCTGATGCGGAAGTGGCTTTCGAAGCCCGAAGATGCCGAGAGACGATGGCCGGGATGGTTCGAGAAGGCCGAGAAAATGGCCAAAACCACGCATGCATGGCCTAAGAGAAGGGTACGAGCCCGTACGCGAGGCACACGAGCACGAAAGTCTCAAGTGAAGGCAAGGACTTGGGCCTATCACACGAGGATTTGAGATGCGCACCAAAGGAGAAAAACCAGGTGGCGATGCCCAAGGCATAAGGGGGCCCATAGGAATGGATGGTACGCGAGTGGGTGCACGTCGGGCGCAGCACGCGCACACGGGCGCGCACACAGCGTGCAGGCGCGCAGGGGCGCACACGCGCAGGAATGCTGATGCGGAAGTGGCTAGGCAGCTCAAGAACACCGCAAGTCGAGCTTACCATGCGCGCAAGAGGCAGGCGCGAGCAACGGCAGAAGTGCGCGCACTGGAGCATAGTGCGCGCGAGACGGGTGAAGATAGGCTGCACACGGATATACGGGCGGTGTGCGTGCGTAGCGAGGCCGCATGCCTCGAGGCATGCGGGAAGACGGGGCAGCACGCGCCGGGGTAGCAGCCGGGGCCGAAGGTGCGCGCAACCAGGTCGATAGGGAAGGACGCGCGGGGCGCGATGCCGTAGTCCTCGAGGAGTGCGGACTGGCGGGTGAACATGCGCTCGAGGGCGGCGCGGTAGGCGCAGGCGTGCGCGGCACGCTGGACGGATGTGCACGCGCGGGAGGCGGTGCCCTAGTCCTCGAGGACTAGGGCGTGCGGGTGGCGCACTAAGGCGGTTCGCGTGTGGCCGAGAGGAAGAGAGAGAGAGAGAATCCCTTGGTGTGCAAGCCAAGATATTTAGTTCCCTTATTACATTATGAGATCTAGATTTATTAGGATAGTTAATATTTTATTGCTTTATTAGATTTATAGTTATATTAGGATTAGATCTAGTTTGTGCCTATATAAAGGCCCTTCCCCTTCGTTATTTATCATCATCCAAGAATTAATAAGAACTCAAGAACTTTTGTTCATCTTCTTTGCTTTAGTTTTTCACCAAGATTCTATAGCAATTATAATCGTTTAGAGGGGTGCAGTTTGTGAACCTCTAGGCACTATCGGCGATTCAAGGCACTGGTTTGTGGCTTATCGGCAGTCGAAACACACGATCCTCATCATTGGTGCTTTCATTGAGAGGTGTTGATCGTGTTTTTTTCTTCTACCCCATTCCCTTTCTTTTTCTTTTCTTTTGTCGTCCCTCTCTATTAAAAAAAAATATATATATATATATATCATCATCACGAGTCCACGAAGCAAAGAACGCAAGCAAGAGAAGAAAGCCATGGCCAATAAGAAGATGAAGGAAAAAATTGACAACCTCGATGTTCAATTCCGTGGCATGAGCGAGGCCATTGATACGCTGGGCGAGGGACTCGACAATACCAAAGCAACAATGCAAGATCTGATGGAAACCGTGAACCGACGCTTCGACGAGATGGCGCGCACGATCCTGGCGCGTCTACCACCGCCACGGCAGCACGATCAGGAGCGAAACCGTGAACGCGAGCAGCCCGAAGGAGAGGGCCGACGGCGTGAGGAGCGCGACGGCGAGAGCGAATCCGATCGGCAATCCCAGGCGTCCGCGTACCACGAACGTCCGAAGATCGACAAGCCACGCATCACGCTATCCACGTTCACAGGCAACGATCGAGATGCATGGCTCCACAGGGCAGTACAATATTTTGAGCTTAACGAAACTGACGGTCCCGATCGCGTGAGGTATGCAGCTTATTATCTTGATGGTGAGGCCAATGTATGGTGGCAATGGCTCACACGGATCTATCGCAAGCGACAACAAATTATTACTTGGGATGTTTTTGAGAAGGAGTTACTTACGCGATTTGGTACGTCTGATTATCATAACTACAATGAGGCTCTCACGCGCATACGGCAAACGAGCAATCTACGTGAATACATCAGGGAGTTCGAACGACTGGCTTGCCGCGTGCGCGATTGGCCGGAAGAGGCACTAGTTGGTGCGTTCATAGGCGGATTAAAATTTGATCTAGCGGCAGAGGTTCGGCTCGAGAGGCCTGACACCATGCATGACGCGATGGAAGTAGCCCGACGGAGAGAAGACCACTTGGCTACAACACGCCGAGGACGCGCGGACAACCGCATTACGGATGCGCGTCGCACGGGTCCGGGCCAAGTAACCACGAGCGCACGGCCAGTCTTCAATACGCGGCCAACGGGGCTAGAAGTCCGTCGATTGTCGCTAGAGGAAGTTACACGGCGACGTGAGAAGGGTCTCTGTTTTAAGTGCGAGGAGAGGTTTACCCCGGGGCACCAATGTAAGCAAGCCTTTACAATTGAGGTGGCAAACCCGGACGACGAGGAGGTTCAGGTCGAGAAGGAACCGCCTCAGGAGGACGAGATTGAGACCTTTAGTGAGGAGCCTGAAATCTCGATGCATGCGATGGCAGGGATCAGAGGACCGAAAACCATGCGACTACCAGCATGGGTCAAAGATCGAAGAGTAATAGTGCTCGTAGACAACGGTTCGTCACATAACTTCATCAATGCTGACTTGTCTCACAAGTTGAAATTACCAACCACAAAAATCGAACCCTTCGAGGTACGAGTAGCCAATGGAGAGAGGTTGCAATGCACTGAATCTTTTCGGAAAGTGCCGATCAAATTCCAAGGAGTCACGGTAAAAGCTGACCTGTATGCCTTGCCCCTAGTTGGACCAGATGTAGTGTTGGGAGTTCAATGGCTCGAGGGGCTAGGCAAGGTGACGACCGACTATCGGACAGGAATTATGGAGTTCAACTCTGAAGGTTTGCAGGTCACCCTAAGCACCGGAACTGAGAAAGGAACTAAGGAAGTAGGGTTGAAAAGTATTGAAAGAGTTTGGCGGGGTGGAGGCCAAATTTTTGCAGTAGTAGTCGAGGACCTGGAAGCGCACCCAAACCGGGACGAACAACAACAGGGGGATGTGCGCAAGCTTCTCGAAGAGTTTGAAGGAGTAATGGGCGAGCCTCAAGGACTACCACCGCACCGAGAGTTTGATCATCGCATACCACAGGTCAATGAACAGCATGCCATACATGTCCACCCTTATAGGTATGCTCACTTTCAGAAAACCGAGATCGAACGGCAGGTTGCCGAGATGCTTGAATCAGGACTGATACAACATAGCAAGAGTCCGTTTTCTTCCCCAGTTCTATTAGCTAAAAATAAAGACGGCACGTGGAGGTTCTGTACAGATTACCGAGCTTTAAACGCTGCAACCATCAAGGACCGATTTCCTATCCCGAGTGTTGATGACATGCTTGATGAGTTAGCCGGATCGCGTTATTTCTCTAAGCTCGATCTGAGAGCTGGCTACCATCATATTCGACTCCACAAAGCCGAAATTCCCAGAACGGCCTTTCGTACACACCAGGGGCACTATGAGTATCTCATTATGCCATTCGGACTATGCAACGCCCCATCCACTTTCCAGTTCGCCATGAATTCTATCTTCAAGGAGTATTTGCGTAAGTTCGTTCTGGTATTCTTTGATGATATCCTGATCTGATCGAAGTCATGGGGCGAACATCTTGGGCATTTGAGAGTAGTGCTCGAAATTTTGGAGACCAACTCGTTCCACATAAAGCCATCCAAATGTTCCTTTGGGCAGATGATGGTTGAGTATTTGGGGCACTTCATATCACACGAAGGCGTGAAGGTCGATCCATGAAAGATTGAGGCTATGGTCGAGTGGCCTAAACCAACAAGTCTCACGCAGTTGAGGGGGTTCCTAGGACTCACGGGCTACTACCGGAAGTTTGTGAAGGACTATGGAACCATCGCCAAGCCGCTGACTGAAATGACTAACAAGGGAGGGTTTACTTGGACCAAGTCTGGTGAGGAGGCGTTCGAGAAACTGAAGGAAGCCATGACTACGACGCCCGTACTCGCAATGCCGAGATTTGGTGTCTTGTTCGAGGTACACACAGATGCGAGCGACATTGGGGTTGGAGCTGTACTAGTGCAGGAAGGACGACCCTTAGCCTACCTGAGTAAAGCTTTGGGTGCGGCTCGACTAGGCCTATCTGTGTATGTAAAAGAGATGCTTGCAGTTGTCGAGGCAGTAAGGTGCTGGAGACCTTATCTATTGGGACGATGCTTTCGAATTGTGACCGATCAGCAGCCGCTCAAGCATCTACTCGAGCAAAGGATTGTTACCCCGGAGCAGCAGAAGTTCGTTTCCAAACTTATGGGGTTTGAATTCGAGATAGTCTACCGACCAGGGCGACAGAATGCAGTAGCTGATGCACTGTCCAGACGGACCGATGTAGCCGAGCTGAATGCTATCACTGGGCCGGCTTGGGATATTTGGGAGGAAGTGAGGAAGGCGCAGGAGGAGGACACATACTGCCAGGAGTTGCGCCAATCACTTGAGACGGGTAAGACGACTGCTATGGAATACGAGTTGCACAATGGTCTGCTTTTACACCGAGGTCGAGTGTTCGTTCCCGCCAGTGAGCAGTTGCGTGAGCAGATCATGCAACACTTCCACTACTCTAAAATTGGAGGCCACTCAGGTATCTACCGCACGTGGATGAGGATAGCCAATACATTCTTCTGGCCAGGACAGCAGAATACCGTCCGAGAATACATAGCGAGGTGCGACGATTGCCAGCGCACTAAGTCTGACTCACGAAAACCGAGCGACCTACTACAACCTCTACCAGTACCCGAGGCAATATGGGAAGACATTACCATGGATTTTATAGAGGGATTACCGAGTTCTAACGGGTTTGACGGTGTTATGGTCGTGGTGGATCGCCTCACAAAGTATGCTCACTACATACCCATCACTCATCCTTACACTGCAAAGTCGATCGCCAGGCTGTTCGTAGAGTACGTGATGAAACTACATGGAGCGCCACGGTCTATAGTGTCTGACAGAGACCGGATTTTCATGAGTAGTTTTTGGTCTGAATTCTTCAAGTTGCAAGGAACCAAGTTATCTATGAGCTCAGCCTATCATCCACAAATAGACGGACAAACTGAGGTAACCAACCGAACTCTCGAGCAGTACTTAAGGTGCTATGTCCATCAATTCCCGAAGAGGTGGGAAAACTTTTTGCCTTGGGCTGAATATTGGTATAACACCACTTACCACGAGTCGACCAAGATGACACCATTTGAGTTGGTTTACGGGCGAAAACCCCAAACGCTGATCAATTATTCAGAGGGGAGTACGGTCAACGATGAGGTTGGTCGAGAACTAGAAGAGCGAGATTTGATGTTACGTGAGTTGAAGAGAAATCTCGAAGGCTTTATTGACCGAACTAGAGCCTTCGCAGATGGAAAAAGGCGTGAGGAAAATTTTGCACCCGGAGAATATGTCTACCTAAAGCTACGACCATTCAGGCAGCGCACGACAGCACAAAGAGCCGCTACCAAATTAGGCATCTGCTACTATGGGCCTTATCAGATTCTGAAGCGCATTGGACAGGTAGCATATCGCCTAGAGTTACCTGAAAGTTCGCAAATTCACCCAGTTATCCATGTCTCACAACTCAAGAGAAGTCTGGGAGAAGCGCAGAAGTATTGTGAGGAATTACCTGCAACCGCAACCGATGGTAGGGTCATAGTTCAACCAAAACGAGCAATCGAGTACCGTAAGGTAAAGAGAGCTGGACGCTACCGTTGGGAAGTACTAGTAGACTGGGAAAAATTGCCATCTGAGGAAGCCACGTAGGAAGATTTTGACGAGATACGCGATCAGTTCCCGAACTTTATCCTTGAGGACAAGGAATCACTTGAAGGGGACGGGAATGATGCGGAAGTGGTTAGGCAGCTCAAGAACGCCGCAAGTCGAGCTTACCATGCGCGCAAGAGGCAGGCGCGAGCAACGGCAGAAGTGCGCGCACTGGAGCATAGTGCGCGCGAGACGGGCGAAGATAGGCTGCACACGGATATACGTGGCGGTGTGCGTGCGTAGCGAGGCTGCATGCCTCGAGGCATGCGGGAAGACGGGGCAGCACGCGCGCAAGGTATCAGCCGGGGCCGAAGGTGCGCGCAACCAGGTCGATAGGGAAGGACGCGCGGGGCGCGAGGCCGCAGTCCTCGAGGAGTGCGGACTGCGGGTGAACACGCGCTCGAGGGCGGCGCGGTAGGCGCAGGCGTGCGCGGCACGCTGGACGGATGTGCACGCGCGGGAGGCGGTGCCCTAGTCCTCGAGGACTAGGGCGTGCGGGCGGCGCACTAAGGCGGTTCGCGTGTGGCCGAGAAGAAGAGAGAGAGAGAATCCCTTGGTGTGCAAGCCAAGATATTTTGTTCCCTTATTACATTATGAGATCTAGATTTATTAGGATAGTTAATATTTTATTGCTTTATTAGAGTTATAGTTATATTAGGATTAGATCTAGTTTGTGCCTATATAAAGGCCCTTCCCCTATGTTATTTATCATCATCCAAGAATTAATAAGAACTCAAGAACTTTTGTTCATCTTCTTTGCTTTAGTTTTTCACCAAGATTCTATAGCAATTATAATCGTTTAGAGGGGTGCGGTTTGTGAACCTCTAGGCACTATCGGCGATTCAAGGCACTGGTTTGTGGCTTATCGGCAGTCGAAACACACGATCCTCATCACATGCACACAGCGCGCAGGCGCGTAGGGGCGCGCTGATGCGGAAGTGGCTGGGCAGCTCAAGAATGCCGCAAGTCGAGCTTACCATGCGCGCAAGAGGCAGGCGCGAGCAATGGCAGAAGTGCGCGCACTGGAGCATAGTGCGCGCGAGACGGGCGAAGATAGGCTGCACACGGATATACGGGCGGTGTGCGTGCGTAGCGAGGCCGCATCCCTCGAGGCATGCGGAAAGACGGGGCAGCACGCGCGCGGGGTATCAGCCGGGGCCGAAGGTGCGCGCAACCAGGTCGATAGGGAAGGACGCGCGGGGCACGAGGCCGCAGTCCTCGAGGAGTGCGGACTGGCGGGTGAACAAGCGCTCGAGGGCGGCGCGGTAGGCGCAGGCGTGCGCGGCACGCTGGACGGATGGGCACGCGCGGGAGGCGGTGCCCTAGTCCTCGAGGACTAGGGCGTGCGGGCGGCGCACTAAGGCGGTTCGCGTGTGGCCGAGAGGAAGAGAGAGAGAGAATCCCTTGGTGTGCAAGCCAAGATATTTAGTTCCCTTATTACATTATGAGATCTAGATTTATTAGGATAGTTAATATTTTATTGCTTTATTAGAGTTATAGTTATATTAGGATTAGATCTAGTTTGTGCCTATATAAAGGCCCTTCCCCTATGTTATTTATCATCATCCAAGAATTAATAAGAACTCAAGAACCTTTGTTCATCTTCTTTGCTTTAGTTTTTCACCGAGATTCAATAGCAATTATAATCGTTTAGAGGGGTGCGGTTTGTGAACCTCTAGGCACTATCGGCGATTCAAGGCACTGGTTTGTGGCTTATCGGCAGTCGAAACACACGATCCTCATCATTGGTGCGTTCATTGAGAGGTGTTGATCGTGTGTTTTTCTTCTACCCCATTCCCTTTCTTTTTCTTTTCTTTTGTCGTCCCTCTCTATTAAAAAAAAAAAAAATATATCATCATCACGAGTCCACGAAGCAAAGAACGCAAGCAAGAGAAGAAAGCCATGGCCAATAAGGAGATGAAGGACAAAATTGACAACCTCGATGTTCAATTCCGTGGCATGAGCGAGGCCATTGATACGGTGGGCGAGGGACTCGACAATACCAAAGCAACAATGCAAGATCTGATGGAAACCGTGAACCGACGCTTCGACGAGATGGCGCGCACGGTCCTGGTGCGTCTACCACCGCCACGGCAGCACGATCAGGAGCGAAACCGCGAACGCGAGCAGCCCGAAGGAGAGGGCCGACGGCG